TTAAAAGTTCGTTTATGTTTCATGCTTATATATATATGTAGATCTACTTATCTCTGCAACGTCTTAATACGTAGCTCAATGAGCTATACTATAATAGATACATTTTCAAAGTTTAGCTATTAAAATCTTATGAACAGATAAATTATTAAATTAAATTTTAGACTGGTCTAATGTTCATAAGACATATATTAATTGCTACATGTCCTCACATAATTTAAAATCCAGCCATTATGTAAGTTACTAAAGTGATTTTAAACTATTTATTTTAAATGCACTTATAAATATATATTCAAAGAAACTACTTTATCGCTTATCATTTGCTTTGTGAATGTATTTTTATTAAAGATGAGAAAATGATCATTAGAATCGACCCGCTACGAATTGTTGTTTTTACTTTTCAAAGAATGACTCTACTTTTATTTTATTCCGTAAACCGTTTGTTAATAATGCAAACCCATTTCTTCGGTGTTTCTTTTTTTTTTTTTTTTTAAGTAAAATTTAGGTTGTAAATAGTATTAACTTAACAAAACAATCAAGATAAGCATTTCTTAAAGAACAGATGAATAAAAACTAATTTTGATGGCTTTCAAACATGTTTTTAATCTCGCTAATGGTTTGCATTAGCTTCAATTAAATCCTACTAATTCTAAAAAACTTAAGAAATTCAGCGACACTTGTTTCCGGGTTATTTAATTATGTCTTTCTAATTTTACAACACAATATATAAAGAGACAATGGCATTGTATAATAATTTTTGCATAGTTTCAGCTTAAATCATTTTACAAATCTGGTATGTATGCTTTTATACCTTTTATATTAATTAGAACTATGATGTTTTAAAATTTTAGTGACATCTTTTCAGAATAATTTTTTCAATCCCAAGTTTTAGAAATTTAGCTGAGCTAGAAGAAAAGAAATCTTCAGAATCTGTTAATCGATATTTTTACCAAAAGTGTGACGATGAATTATATCATATGAATGTTGTAAAAATGTTGCGCTTTGACAATTTACATCTATTCAGCGAAACTATATTTTTTCTCTAACACAAATGTTTATTAGCCTCAACTTTGGCACAGCTCTAAATGTTGCAAATGTTTCTTGATATACGGTCTTCTAGTAACGGAGGAACAAGTCTAAAACGACAAACATTCCTTCGATCCTTAACTAAATTAACTGATCTTTAACTTTAGTTAAGGAAGTGACATGACGTCATATAGATCCGTGGTAAGCGCTCTGCGCAAAAAGGTATTCACTTCTGCAATCTAGAGTTTGATTTCAGTTTTTGTCGAGCCCAAACAGGATTTTATGATAGTGAAAAAACATTTAGAAGTATTTTCTAGAAGAAAATCGGTCAGAACTAACGTAGGTACTTCTGAGGACTCCAAGATTTCTGAATATTCCAAAATAGAAAATCGTTGATATCTATAAGCAGTTTAAAAATTCTGAAATATGAAGGACAAGGTGTCCGGAAAAATGATTTCGAATATTTTACCTGAAACCCTCTTTCTAACAACAGTAACTAAACATTTTATTAAAGGAGTTCAAAGTCTGAAACTGCTATGAAAATTTTTCGTATAATAGCAAATAGTAGGCACACAACTTAATCATAAATGTTTTTATTTCAAATAGCCAGTGACTTGTGTTTTACCTCACAAGAGTGTTTTAGCTTATCAAGATAGGTAGCGTGGTTCTTTCTTTAAACAAAGCCGTTTGTCAAACAAAGCCGGTTAAGATATAAACATATTTGGTTCTACAGAGAATAAGAAACCTGAATATTCCCACAACATTACGAAATACAATTGTTACGGTGGTGAAGGTGTCATGGTGTAAGGAGCAAAATTGATCACTGGGCTCAACTCCCAGTGGATTTACTTCTCAAATGCGTATCTATGTCTACCCAGAAATATTAAGGTAACATCTTATATGTCTTTTCTTATACATATTCCAAAAAATTTTTATATTAAGTGATAGTCTGAGTAATATCCTCAAAATGAAGATATTAAACAAATGGAAAGCCAGTACAATCTGTAGTTCGGAGTCAGCATATTTCTGGAAAGGCTGTTGCAGAATGAAATTCATCTTAATGTGATTTTGATGTCTAGGAAACCATTTTAGTGATACAGCTGGCATTTATTGCCCAGATTTGAATTAACTCTCTAACCGGTAGCGTTAAGTTTCGAAATGATATATGCATACGAGCTATAGGGATCAGTTTTCTTTTTAATGTCCACAATCTGCACTTTTCCCGTGTTGTTCATTTACCTAAAATTTCGTTTCCAAATTTTATTTTAGTTTTCTTTGCCTCATAGTACAACATCACACTTATAATCATTCAATTTTCACAACTTTGTTTCATAACAATGCCTGGCAATTACATTTCACATACATTCAAATAAAGTTTTGTTACAGGTTTGTATTTTAATGTTATGAGCCTTAATATTATCGCAATTCAGTTTCGTTAATTTTAATTGGCATTTATCTAAAATTCAGAGTTTTGGGGTATATAAAAGTAATTCTGATACACATCGACTAAACCAGAGATGGGCAAATTTTTCTGTCGCGGGCCAAAAATCGAGGGAAAAAAAAAAAAAAAAAAAAAAAAAAAAAAAAAACTGGCGGGCCAAGCTAAATTTTACTAAATTTAAAAAAAATATATAAGTATTAAAATTTAATTATGTTAATGAGATTAATGAAACTGCGATTTCATTTTTAAAAGTTCCTTACGTTGAGGTTCGAACTGAGACGTAGTGATTCTAAGGAACGAGGCTAAATCCTCATGTCTACTTCTGAAATAATTCTTTAAGGTTCATAATTGAAAACACATGTTCACATATATAAGATGAAGCAAACATATCACTAATTTTCTGAGCGTGAGATAGTAAATTTGAGAAACTTACTGTCGATAATAATTTGTAAAACTCTAACTTAGAAACAACTGCTTCAGATAATTGTTAAATTGCAACTCAATTAATTCAAGCTGCGAATCTCACCTCACTGCTTCACAATTTACTTTGAAAGACATGGTAAACATATCCAATTTTGTTTGAATAGCACTGACTCAAAATGCAGATTTTTCAAGTCATCTTCATAATTCTTAAGCTTCTCTTCATTTACTGAAGGTATTGAATTTAACCTCGAAATGAGACAAGTCGTTCTTAGCTAGCTGCCCTGCAAGCATATTAAGTTTTAGTTGAAAAGCTTTGAGATGGGCCCAGATATCGTCGATAAATTGATTTTGCCCTTGCATCTTGACATTTAAGTTGCTCATCTGGCAAAGATCTGTGAAAAATTCAAAGTAAGAAATCCGTTCTGTATCTTCTAACATTTCGCATTCCGCAGAACATTGTTTCTCATGGAAGAACGACACAATGTCGTCTTTCAGATGCCAAACTCGCTCGAAAACACATCCTGCGCTAAGCCACCTTACTTTCGCGTAATACAGTACATCAGAGTATTCAGATTGCACAGACTGAAGAAAATCTCTAAATTGCATGTGAGTAAACCAACGAGATCAAATAGCATTTATATGCTTCATGACTGCATCAAGCACGGGTGTCATATTCAATGTAGATTTACACAAAGCATCTTTATGTATAACTCAATGTAGAAAAGCAACATTGTTCCCGGAAGAGATTTAATTAAAGAGTCCAAGAAATCCAGATTTGTTTCCTGTCATATTTGGTGCTCCATCAGTTGTAATATTACATGTATTTGTTATAGGCACTTAAAAGCTCTTCCTGAAATTCACAAAAAATATCCCATCCCATTGTAGTTCCCTTTAAAAAGAATGCATGCACGCCAGTTCCTCGGTAATTTCAAAGTTCTCATCAACACCCTCTTGTAAATAATACTAATTGAGCAGTATCATTTATAGTGCTTTATTAGTTATCCATATCTATGGAGCAAAATTTAAACTGGCCAATCTTTGAATCTAATTGTGATGTCAAATTTGTATCGATGTCTTCGAATCGAGAAGTCACCGTTTTTCGAGATAAGCTTACAACCTCAAAATTATTTTTCTTGTCTGGACATAACACATCACAAACTTGCAGCATGCATTGTTTAACGAACTCCCCATCATTGAGAGCTTCATTATCGTTAGCAATATTGTATGCTACAATGCGTGTGTAGCTGCTTCTTGAATACTGTTTACCTTCTTGAAAAAAAAAATTGTCGGCCTTATAATTTTTTTACCAAGAGTGTGTGCATATTGTTTTCTTTCATATTCGGACACTGCTTCGTAATTGGAATTCTTATGCTTAGATGTGAAATGACGGGAAATGATATATTCTTTGAAGAATGCTACAGCTTCATTGCGGATGAGACACACTGGTTTATCTTTTACAACTGTAAAAAATATTTGAAGGCCCGTTCATCATTAAAATCACGGCAATCTGAATCACCTTTACGTTTTACGTAGCCATTTTGGGGTTGAAATATTTTACAAATAATCCAAACGGGCAGTAGCTACGCTATACTTTTAATAATTTCACCACTATTCACAATGCTGCTATATATCCGCATTCTTTCCATACTCAACCAATAATACTAGAACTCGCGTCAAAAGAAAAAGCTGCTGGATGGAGCTTAAAAAAATGCGCAGTCTGCCACATGTGAGGTCTAATTCACCTGTATTGGATTCCCATATGTCTGCTCACCGAGAAAGAGATAAAGCTTGTTGGCGCTAGTCTACAGCTATAACTAAAAAATAACTTTCGCTTTGAACATGTTACCGATTGAAAGCTGTCTGTGCTTGCTATTTCCATCGATTTATGTTTTGTAGAACAAAATTAAAGAAAGTAAAAAGATCATAAGTACTTTAAAAATAAAGAAAAAAATTACATTTAATCAAAGTAGAAAAGGAGATGGTTAATTTGCCTCGGACCGGAAATTAAAAGTTTATCCGCTGGCCGGATAGATCCTTACGGCGGGCCGTAGTTGGCCCATCCCTGGACTAAACTGTTTGAATGTCTTTATCAGACATTTTTTTAAGTATGAATCTATGTCGCTACATATCGCTGTTTAATATTTAATAAGCTCACATAACCTTCAACTTCTTCTATCGTCAGTTCTGAAAATGACACTTTAACATGACGCTAAAAAATAAAATAAAAAAAGCAGGAATAAATTATTAAAATGATGACAATTCAAATCACGCCATGTCATTTGTACAAAGAAAGATTACGAAAGCTGATATCAGGAAAATCAATTATTCCCTATCCTAAAATGATACATAATGCAGACGAATTCAAAAGAGCTACATCCCAAGAGTATTTTAACCTCGAAATGACATGCAAGGGAATCATCATAATAATTTTCTTTCAATGGAAGGATATAACAGTTAAAAGTTTTCTAATAACTCTAATGCAATAATGTCGTGTAATAAATCTGGTCTTAAATTATTAATTCAACTATTTTTATAATATATAAATTAAATAAAATAATTTTAAATTCAGTTCCTTAGAATAGCCTTACATTGTTCAAGCCTAAATCATGATTTTTCTGTGACATTGAATATTTGGAGAATATCGTTGACTGCTAAAACTGCTCGAATTTAATTACCTTCTCAAAAATAATAATAGCTTTCAGAAATGTTCCTGTCAAGAAATCGAAGGTTACATTACATTATGCTATTATTCTGAAGCACGTAAATGAGATAATATGTAATAATGAGAGACGTTTTTCCAACCCTATGCTACAGCTTTCCTATCTCATATGAGGCTCCTCCTGCAGTTATCTTTTCTGCAGGGAACATGAGTACAGGTTTAAGTTGTAATAAAGTAGAAGACTCCCTGAGGTTACACATTGCAAATTTTCAGATGTTAAGAGAATGATGACTGCATTTCTTAAATCAAATTACTTCTTTAGAATTCTAAGAAAGTATTTTAGATTTGGAGATTTCATGATCCTATATTAATACATAATACTAAGTATATAAATACCTGTAGTAAAACTGAGTACTATAAGTAAATTAAATGCCTTAAAATAAATTAAAATTATCTTCTGTTAAAGTAATCAGTATAACAAGTTTCAATCTTAATCTTTCCTCTTCAATCTTAATTGAAATGTGAAACATAATATTTCATAGACAACTACTCCTTGAAGTAGGTGACCGATTAATTACTATCAATGCAGCAGTTGTTAGAGGTTTAAGCTGTTTAGAGCTGTTAGAGCTGTTTTAGCTGTTAGAGGTTTAAGCTGTAGGCCATATCATTGTTTTGTAAAGGAATGAATATATCTTTGATTGCAGTAAAGTAATAAAACTAAGCAATTTCTCTTATGGTGGACAAAAGTTAACAAACATTCCCTAGAATAAAAATAAGAATTCCCTAGAATAATAATAAGTAGAAAATAAGGCACCTTTGAAATCACTAGACTGAAATAATTTAAAACTTATACTTAAAACTTTATAATAGAATCCACATTATACACTTCAAACGTTTATTTAACTTCCAAAATCATCACCTTTTATAAATAATGCTGCATAAAGGTATCAAAAATCAGGTATTCCGAATGATGTGTTTCCTATTAATGACTAATTTAACGAGGCAGAGATTTGTTGCAAGAAATGAACTATGTTGTTTTCTTTTGATAATGTGATATAATATCCATTTTATATATATACACTGTAGTGTTCAGATCAACTCTTATTTTGGCAACACTAGTCAAATATTTTCGTTTGTAAGATTGGCTTTGACCGAAATTATGCTTACAAAGCATGGTGTTCCTATTTTTCCTATTTGTCAACATAAACTTAGATTATGCTTACAGTATTTTAATAACATTTTTGATTGGAAACATCAGGTTTTAGTGCACGTTCATAACTATTCTTAGACTATAGTGTTTAGTTACATTCACAGATGTAACCAGACGTTTTATTTTTTGTAATGGCATGATAGTCGATGTTGCCAATACATACATATAATATGAGGTTCTCCCCATCGTCACATTACTCAGGTTTTGGCAATCTCAAAATTCACTTTTGTTGCATAAAAAAGATTTTTCATTTTTTAAAAAAATCTTTCATAATCACACCACTTTTCACCTTTGTAATGCCAAATTTCTTGGCTGAGCCTTTTCAGGACACATTCGTGTGTTTTTTTAATGTAAAATGCATATGTATATAAAATGCATAATGTGTTTGACCATTACTACGTTTGAATGAAGTTTGCAAGAAATGGCAACCTTGGTACTTAACACTCTCCGCGTTGTTAACCAAAAAAGAGGATTAACTACATTTTCATTTTTACAGGTTGTTTGGATGTTGATCACAGAATTTTAACAAGTTCTCTTAATTTCTTTTATATTTTCATTAGTACAAGAAAATTTAGCATTAATTTTTACTATTTAGTTTGAAATGAATTTAAAGAAGTTTAATCCCCTACAATAATGTTTTTACAACATTATAATTGGCAAAGTTATGAGTCAAATATTTAATAAGTTCAAAACTACAATTAAATTGGTAGTTCTATTTTCAATGCAAATTGATGTGTTTTCTCTGAAGTTTTATATTCACTTACATTTTATATTTTATGAATACATTTTTGGAGAATTTTTATTTTTAAATTATGTACTAAAAATTTATTTGTGCGAATTTTTGTAATTGCATATTTTTTTAGAATGCAGTGTAAATAATATACGTATTTTTAATTTTTCTTTTTCAGTTTCCATTCCATCTTGAACATAAAAATATGAATACTTTATAATGTATTACCAGTTTTAAATTCATTGATGTATCCACTTTAAGGAAATATAAAAATGTTAAAAAAATGATAAGGAATCGACATTAATTTAATTCATAATTTTAAATGCTATATGTTACTTTATACAACTGTAACATCTTCATGAGATGGTTTAATTTACTTCCACTAAATTATTAATTTAAGTGTTTAGTATATACATATGAGTGGAATTCGATAGTTTTAGGTACTTTCTACATATTTTTCGACAAATTTATTTTTCGGCTTTTAGACTTCAGCAAACGTTTTACATTTAAAATTTATGTAAGTTAAAACTTTTTAGTTAAATTGATCATTATATTTCTAAAGTGTGTAGACGTGTTTGCAGTTAGGTTTTAAACTAGATTTTATTTGCCCTTTTCCATTTCGTAATTTTAATTTTTATTATCTACTGCAAAGTTTTGTTTTGGTTATTGAGACTGAATTTACCGTCGGGTTAATAGCTTGACATTTTGAGACTGAGTAAATAGCGTATAGAAATAGTTTTCATTCTTTTATCACTTTCTTTTTAACAATTTTTCTCAAAAGGTCAAATGATCAAGTGGAATGAATCACGAATTCAGTGCTCATTAATTGTAGATGTTTTAATGTTTCAAATTATTACCTTGATAAGCCGATTTGGAGAATTAAAATGTAAATAATTAAATTATGAATAGTTTTAATATAAATATGAATTTTCACTGACAAACATTTAATTAAAGTTGCTAATGATTTATTAATTTTTTTCAAATATTTTTAAAATCTTCTTAGCAATTTACATCTTACATGTATTTGTTATAAATTATTAATGAAATTTTAAGTGCAAAAAATGGATTTATAATTCATTCTTGCTTGTAGTTCCTACTGTACAATTGGTAGTGAGAAGAGAAATGTCATTGAATTTAAGTTGTTGTCAAATATAGCAGGAAGCAATAAATGGCTTATTAAACACCGTAAAACTAGAAATCTATTTTTTTAAATATATTCCCCCTGTCTCTTTCAAGTCTTTCTAACATTATATTTTCTTTTGCTAAAATCAAATTTCATGCAATATAAGGTTATATATATAGATAATAATTTCATATTACAAAATCTCCTTACCCGATATCCTAAGTTCCGCTGTCCCTTGGGCACCATCGAGATCATTGTATACAAAGCACTGATACATGCCTCTATCTTCTCTACGTACAGATGTAATATGAAGGACATCTCGGGACAGCAATCTCACACGACTGGAAGATGTCAGTTGTCGCTGGTCTTTCTTCCACGTTATTGTGTGTACAGGATATCCAGTAACATTGCAGTTGAATGTCGCTTCCTGTCCAATGTTTAAAACCTGACGAGGAGGCCGCATATTCACCATGAGTGGAGCTGTAAATAGAAAGTATGATATTAAAATTCTAAACTTTTTCTACTGGATATTATATATATATATATATATGTTACTGATATAAAGCACGTAAATGTTTTTTTTTCGAATAAATTAATAATAGAAGACTAGCAATTTTAAGCGGAACAATACTGATGAAAAATCTAAAATTTTATTTTAGTAAACTCAAGCAATTAAACATTCTGAAGTTAAGAAAATTTAAACCTCAAAGTGTAGTTAATTTCAAAGAAATGTTGTAACCTTTACGCAAGAAACTTATACGTTCCTGTTTGAAGGATAATTTTATCCAAATATCATTATTCTGTAACATTTAGCTAAATAATTAATCGAAATAAAAAAGTAATCCATATAAAAAGTGCTGTGACTGGAACTTTTGCAACTGTAATGTATTTTACTCTTTCCAAAATTGCTTATCGAATTTTCAGGTCATTAAAATAAGTAATATGTGAAACCATGGAAGAAAATTTAATCTTATTCGAATCTTAATTCTGTATTTTTTCTTTTGTTCGCTACGGCAACATTCTAATTTGCTTCATTTTGCATGCAACAATGAAAATTTATGTGATACTTTCTACGACGAGTTACGTCAAAGCAACAAGAACTTGGAAACTTTAGAAATTTCTTTGAATACTACTAGCTCGGAAATTCAAGTCTTTAAGCTTCCAGCTGTAATGGATAAAATCATCCCGCATGTTTTGCTATGATAATTATGTGGTTTAAGATATGCACTATAAGGGGGGATTTTGCAATCTTAAATTTTATTTTCCAATTTAACTTATTCGCTTGATTTACATCTTCGGAAGCTGTAAATGACATTAAGTAATCACATATTTTGCCTTTTAAATCGTACCTGTTGCCTTCATTTTTAAATGTGTATAGTTATATTATATTACACTGGTTTTAGATATGTCTCTTTACAATACTTTTATTTGTTTTCTCTGATATTTATCTACGTTCGTTACTACTTCATTAATAATTATTATTGATCATTAGAAAATAAAACAAGGAAATCTTCTGTTTAAGACATATTATTACCAAGTCATAAAACATGAGTTGATGCTTTTTTTATTTGTATTACAAATTCAATTTTAATTAGTTACTACGAATTTGATTTTCATACCGTACTTCGGAGATCATTTTTCTCCTCCTTTCGTATTAATTGTATCGTCTGAAAATCGAAATTGGAAAATTATGCGAATATTTAATTTTTGATAGATGCGATTACAGTAAGAGGGTAAAAAATGAAATATAGTCATGGATAAAAAACAGGTAACCATCATAATGTTATTTTTTAAAAGAAACCTACATTCCAGTAAGAGTACATATTAATATTAACATTACAACACCTAACAAGTTATTGTCCTTTCTACTTTCCTGTAACTTGAATCTCGCCTGTTCTTATTGTTGTCTCTGTGAATCCTTAAGCCTCGAATCATCCATAAATAGATAGAGAAGATTTATATGCAGTTGACTCCGTGAAATCGAGAATTATGTCAGGTCGTTCTTGCTTCGCTGTGATTGGTCTTTGCATCAGGCGGTCTGTATTTCAGCAATTATAGGGAAATGATTTGGCATGACTCCCGCAAGTAATTTGCGAGGGTTTTTCTTTTTAACCAGTTGCTCATTTGCAAAATAGCAGATGTGAAACTTCAATTTTTTAATCAGATGAATATGTAAATTAAGATTAATATTTATAAACCATAAATCTATATTTTATTTAACGCGGCAGAGATTTGTTGAAAGAAATGAACTATGTTGTTTTCTTTTGATAATGTGATATAATATCCATTATCAAATAATGGAACTGGAATAATGCAAATTGAATAACTTGTTTCCTAGATATTTTCATTTCTATTTAATCACTAGAAATGAAATTATTTTATTTAATTTGGTTTTAATTAAATTTAATTTGGGTTCTTACGTTCATTTGTAATAACATCACAATTTTGTGTCTAATGAAAATGTATTTATTTTTGAATCACACATGAATCAACTAAAATCCAACCATCAAGGTAATTTAAGAAAGTGAATAACTGTAAAAAAGTGCATGTTTAAGTGCATGTTTAAAAAGAGATTCCACTTAACTAAATCGCGCTTTACGTTTAACTCATTAGAATTAACTGCATACTTTGAACTTCAACAGATAGCAGATTCTCTTATATTTAACTTTATAGGTTTTAGCCACCAAAAGGAGTTTTATTTTGCTATTTTATAGTGTCGCATTGACTTACTAAAAATGATCCTACCAACACATGTGTCTGTTTTTATAGTACATATGACCGTACATATAACAGTTCAAAAATCATACTTTTTACCCCAGTGTTTGAAGAGAAAGCAAAGAATGCTATGGACGATTTAATGCGTATGCACTTTAAATGAAATAACCATCGATTTCCGCAGCAAGCCCGGACTTAGATGACACGGTTAAAGGAGATTTAATAGATTATTATTACTGCCTAATGCAAACTGGTTATTGCCTACTTCAGATTTCTAGATAACGCGGGAAATAATTACCGAGCTTCACTTACCGTACTTCATTTTAAATCTATCATATCAGAATTTTAGCCTTTTAATCAACAGTGGGCAGATCTATATAAATTTTTCTGCATGGACTGTCTTTCACTACTTCACAGTAGGCAACAAAGATGAAGTTCTGGAACTAAACTCTTCTTTTTTAACAACACGCAGGAAACAACTTTGATTTACCACAGCTGTTATTGCTGTCCTTCTTAAAATTTCATTCTAAAGGACTAAAATTTCCCAGACATTAAAAAATAATGTTAAATAACTTAGCAAAAGAACGCTAAAATACACTTAGGGAAACAAAATGCTTAGACTGAATTAAACTGATGAAAAGGCAACTAGCTGGTGATCAAAACGGTCAGGTTCACATTCTATTTGCGCAAAAGAAGAAAGATCTGAAAACAGCAGTTTGACTCAAGAGAAAAATTCTATGATGTACTGCATTATGAGGTACATACAATAGGAGCTCCAAAGCATCTGCGGGAAGTGCATGTAATAGTTTATGACAAGCATGCTTTTTTTTCGGAATTTCGCAAGAATGTGCATTAATAGCGTGATAAACTGCACAAAAATAAATTATGATTCATTCTCATTTTTTAAAGAGCATTTTACTGTCTGTCGGAAGTATTAATGTTTATATAAATAAGTTTGAATAAATAAAAGGAGATAATGAAGATAAGTGATGACTTTTATTTTTTTAGTACCACCATCTCCAGAGAAAAGGTATTACTCCACTTTTACACGTAAGCCAAGTCAGAATACGAGCAACACATATATAACCCCCAAAATAGACAGAAAGAAATTAATAATGATAAAAACGTGTACCTCTATCAAAACCCTGGAAGAAAAGTATTTCACGTTTGCTTGAGTTTTTCTTAAAATAGAAATGAAAGTAAATATTAAACACTCATCGATGACGAAGCACAAAAATCGGCAAACGAAACAGAAAGGAAAGATTCTAAAGATCGAACTCAAAGAAAGAAAGCCAAATGAAGAAAAGTAAGTACTGAAGTAAAAAGAAAAACCTTTTTCTACTAAAAAAGAACAATAAGTAAAACTAAAGACTTGAATTTTCTGCAATAGCTTTTTCTAAAAGTGTGTATTTTTTTTTAGTATTTTTATTAAAAGACTATTTATAAATCGCTTTTAGCTTCATTAAATAAACAGAAAAGCAACTCATCATAAATGAACAGAAAACTACTGGACTGAAATCCTTTTTTGCATTTAATATTTTTTTTAATAATTTCATTTAACTACAGACGATAATGTATGACTACAAGAAATTAAATCTCTTCTGTGTCCGTCTGTCTGTTTGCTTGCTTGTAGCATTTTCTCCTCCATCACAGAGGGGAGTTGAGTTTCGAGAGAGGTACTTTGGGATTCTAAAATTAGTGGGAAGCCATTTCGCAGATTCTCATCATCGTACAATTTTAATCAGCCGAGATATAAATTAAAAACTCTGAAAAAGATAATTTTCGCACTCATTTTGAGTGGCAACAGTCTCGCGCGTTGGAGATAAAAATGCTTTGTTTCGAAGAGTTGTTATTGTTTGATTTCAAATCAAAGAGTTTGTTAATAAAAATTTTTTTAAGTTATACAATATATAAAATAAAAATAGCATTTCCAAATACTAAATGTATTATTATTTTAAAATGTCATATCCTGACTTTGAAGAAAACACGCGATTTCATGTGACATCATTGTATGTTGACAATGTTTCGTAAATGTCAGCATTTTAAATAAATAGCTGCTGTTGGCAACTTTTTTGTCAGATTAACGTAACTCACACGATATGTTATTACCACGTTAATTCTTTTATTGTTAATGAGAAAGTGTTGTTATATTACATTGAATTTAAATCAAGACATCGTACGTAATAACCTGAAGCGTCAAAAATTGTTTCCTGGTAAGGCAATAAAAATTATTTATTAATTGGTTGTTGCTTGGAAAGAAGGAACTGATTACATTCATATTGAAATGGTTTTATGCATTTGCTTTTCAGGGGCATATACGAATTTTGCTTTAGCTGCAGCCTGCTCATCTGGAGGGCTTATCCGCTAAATAAATATTTGCTGTAAGAAATATCTACGAAATGTCTAAGCTGATGATTGTTTGAACACATTTCTGGTTTCATTTAACATTTTAATTACAAGCAAAAACATTCAGTTATCAGAATAATGTTACTTTATACCGTATTTAATGATTGCAGATAATTTAAAATAGAACAAATGTGCTGTTAAAATCATTTCTTTATTACCTGTAATTTTTATCTATTTATGAAATTCCTTTACTGTCCACTTAAATAACAATTTTACATATATACAGTTTAATATTAAAATTAAAACTATTGAAATTATTTAAAAATTAAATTAAAAAATAAAAAAATATTGCAAATATTAAATTAATTGAATTATAAGTTATAAAAATGTTTCAGCTTTTATCGTGTTTACATCAGCTT